ATGGGAACGCGACAGGTTTGAGCTAGGTCAAGGTGTACACGATTGACTCAAATTAAACTGGAATGGATTATGCAAAGGATTATTACCTGAATTATTATTTTTGCTTTAATTTTGAATCAATGCTTTCATGTTCTGTTCTATTTTAGATATAACTTTCTTTAATTCACTTATTTCTTCATTATTAGAGCCTTCACGTTTTAGGTAGCTGCATTTTAACGAATATAAACTCAAAGGTCTCCCTCTTGAATATGTGGCCTCAGCGGCTTTAGCTTTTTTCAATATTTGTTGCAAGGTCATTAGGCATTCCATCTCTACTAGTACCTCAATTTTTGTCTTAATCCGTCTATGAACTGACAGATTCGGTCAATTTGAGAGTATTTTTCCATTAAATCTGCTTTCCAATATATCCTTTTCAGTTCATTATAATAATCATCAACAGTTTCTCCAGCTCTTGTTGTCAGAACCTTAGTTCTGCAAACTAACGGTTTTGTTGGTAGGTAATACAGAATTGTCATTTGAATAAATATATAAAGGAGTTCCGAGGCTGTAATTAATCCTGCTATGTTCGCACTGTATATGCAACGTTTCTTTACCAAGTATACACCGGCCCTTTTAAGTATGAAGATAGAATGTCAAATCTTCTTTGTTTAGTTACATGATTGGCGACACAAGCCTCATCGAACTTGTCTAACCATATAAGAGGGTCTTGATTACTACTACTAAAGGTTAGGCACTTGACTACTTTGGCTTTTTGGAGCTGGTTTGCATTATTTCCTATGACAAGTATAAGATTATTTATACTTTGTAGTAATTGATCTATCGGGTTTGCTGCAACAGCTTCAGAGGCAGGTTGTAGCTGAGGTTGGGGTTGTGATAACTCAGCTTGTAATTGATTTTGAGAGGGTTGATTTTGTAGTTGGAGTCACCTAGGGTTGTTACGATATCGATCTCAAGGTGGTGGTATTCAAGTTGGATAGAAGGGCATCTCTGTGGTGAAGGACTTTGCACCTCAAAGCGAACATGCAGATTCTGCACAAAATGGTTGTCTTCTGGCTGAGTTCCAGGTTCTAATGGGTTGACAATCGGATTTGGTTTCAGATGATTTGAGGTCTTTTATATCCATGCATATAGGTTCTCTTAGCTCTACAATGTAAGTATTGATCTTCATAATTGCTCTGATTTTCTTCTCAACTATATCGATTATTAATCACAATATTATGCAGGGGTAGTACTGGTTCCGCATCAGAATCTTGAATGATGATGCGTTCTTCTTCATCTTTTTCTTATTGAGGCAGGCTTCATATAGATACAGGGTGGCTGTTTCTTGATTTGAGTAAGTTTGATCGATATATCTCCATTGGACTCCAAAATCTATAAGGTCATCAAAACTACCTGATCTTTTATTTCAAGACTCTGGTCGCACGTTTTGGTCATTATACCTATTAGATCTTCTGGCGGTGGTAGTAGAAATTTCAGCTTGTAGGCTAGTAGCTATGTTAAAAGTAAGTAATGCAGAAATGCTGAAGTTAGGTAGTGAAAAAGAGATTTCTGAGCGAGTTTATATATTTAGCTCACTGTTTATTGGGTCAGAGAAGATATGTAATTATAGGTAATTCATAAAATGTTTTAATTTTATTCTCTTAGGCAACCCAGTCCTGTTGTCGTCGCTAAATGTAATTGTAATATTTAATTATATAAGTTGAGTTGGGTTTTTAAGAGAATTATTTTGGGCTTTTTATTAGATAAGTATTTTGAGGCTTTGAAATCTTCCTCTACAAAGTCTTTTACATATGCTTTTTATATAGAATCATTTTACTAATTTGCTATCTATTTTTTGGCTTTGTTATTTATTAAACTACTTTGTAACCTCCTTAATTTCGTATTTAATGCTATCATTATGATCTTATGCATAACGATTTATGTGTAATGATCATATGCATAATGATATATGCATAATAACCATATACATAATGATGTTATGTGTGATGATTTTTTACTAATACTAATCGTGTTAATAAATAATAAATAAATAGATAATAAAAGAACTATTAACTAAATAAATAAATAAAATAAATAAAATGAAAATAATAAAGTGTAATTAAATGAAAGGTTTGCCAAACAACATGATCATTGTCATTCGTCGATGTCACATGATCATCGCCATTTGTCGATATCACGTAATCATCGTGTGCATAACGTTCTACCTAAGAATAATTAGTTATGTTATAATATATCTCTTTAACAATATAGTTATTTACATAACTTCTAATTGCTTTAAACTAATTTCTGTTTGTCATTTGATCACTCTTATTTTATTTTTTTAATCAAGTTCTGGTATCCTAATCTTTTCCTTTTTTATTAGTTTTTTTATTTATATATATATTTTTTTTCAAATACATTAGTCATATGAGTATTGCAAGTGAGAGTTTTCAAAACCTTATACTTTAATACAATATATTTTGTAAAGGCACCCTTATATCCAAGATGATACAAATCAAATTGCTTCTATTAAGCAATTTGATGATTCTATCTGGCAACTTTCAGATTATAATGATTATAGTTTAAGTGATGAATATTCTACAGATTATGAAGTAATTTATAAGTTTATTATAGATATGGTAATGCTTATAGCAAAAGCGGAGATGAGACTATATATTATATAGTTTCATCACCACTTTTGCTATGGGCATTATCATATACCGATTATTAACGAATGTTAAAGAATTGTTTATTTTAGAATAAAAATACATCATTTCAGTCTGAATTAAATTTAGATAATCCTGATATTATGGAAACAGAATCATTAGCAAACGATAGTTATTTTACAGATTATGAGCTATTTCAAGAAGCATTGACTAATGTTGATCCCAAAGATTTTGAAGATGCTTCATTTGATAATGCATTTCATAACTTAGAATATATCCAAACTATTGAATAGCCTAATGGCCTAGCAATGCATAATAAGAGTTTATGGGTATAATTAATAAGTATTAACTATCAAATTCAGCCAAAGATACTAGAATAAATTTTTCAACAAGTTTTCCAATATAGATGTTTTACTATTACTCTCATCAATAAAGATTAGAAAGGAATTTCTTGATAATTCTACCGACTTTATGCAATGTTGAAGGGTAGAGAGTAATGTCGAACATTTTCATATAACTTGCATAATAGATCAGAACTTTATATAGGTAACAAAAATGTATCACTGATAAAATTTTTTAAAGCCACAATTAATTTTTACCAAAATTTTGTGGCTTGTAGATACAAACCCTTATTTATAAATAGTCAAACTTTTAGGGGTGATATTAATTTAAAAAAACATACTTGCATATATTGTAAAGTTTTTTTGAGACATCTCAAAATTTTTTAGATAGTACAAAATGCCTGATTCTAATTGGCTGATGTCATATAATCTTCATAAACAATTAACACTATCTAAACTTTAAAATAATTATATCTCGCTAAGTTTTAATCCTAATTTAATAATTTTGTTATTGTTAGAATCAGAAAAATCTACTCTACAATTTTATTTAAAAATATAAACCTAATTTTCTTAATAAAATTTTGTTTAATTTAAAAAAATAAAACAAAATACCACTGATTTTATATATAATTTACAAATTATACCCTCTACTCTTAAAGAAATTCCAATCAAAACATTTTAAAATATTAATTATATATTTTATTATCGGTCATTGATTAAAGCAATTAAATCATTAATATCAATAGATAGTGTAAATCAATCATTAGTATTTTGTTATACAGAAAAATATGAAACAATAAATAATTTTTATATCAGGTCTTTGAAGAACAATATAACTGTAATTGGTAAAAACATGAAGAATCTAATTTACTTGTTGAGCAATAATTATTATTGATTATCTTTTATTTTGATACAATTACCTTAGATTATATAAAAAAATCTTCTGAGCACCCAATTTTTCTTTCACTTAATAATATACCAAATTCTCATAGAAATAAGCCAGAATCTAAAACATTAATAGGATATCTACCAATATTAAAGGCTAAAGATTCTGCTACTAAAAATTCTGATAGTTTTCAAAGTTGCAAAGAGAAATCTTTCATAAGTGTTTGGAAAAACTTTTTACTCCTATTATTAATGAACCTGGGTTAAATTTTGTTATTCGTGATAACATATTTACTTTTGTTTCACAAATTTCAATAATTATTGCTAATATGTTGGAGATTAATAAGATTGCAAACATTTACTATCTATCTTCATAGAAAAGACCTTGTAGTTCATGTTTAGTATGCAAGAATGATTTAAATAATACAAGCCAATTAAGTATAATGCCTAGAACTCCATATAATATGCAACAAATAATAAACAACAGAGAGGCATGTGACTACTTAATCCATCCTGAAGCAAATGCATTTTGGAAACTAAGATAAGTTAATCTTATTTTAATAAGTTTAAAATTTATATTACTTAATATCAAAATTATTAGAAACTTTAATATATATGAAGCAATCATTTCTGATCGAATGTATATAATAGATTTTAGTCTTTTTAAATATATGCTAGACTATACAAAAGAGCTTTTACATAAACAATGTAGGAGTAAAGTAATTAAAAATTTTGAGCAATGATTAACATTGATTCCTAGATTTTAGGGTCTCAAAATTATAAAAAATGTTTCTGATATAAGTCGTATGATAGCTGATGAATTGCGAAATTTAATGAAAATTATTATTTTTGCAATTGATAATCTTTATGAAAAATATCAAAAACTGGATATTAGCAATAAACAATTAGATCAAGTATATTATATTTTTTAACAAATAACTACTATAGCAATCGATTATTAATGATTATTTTTAAAGAATTTTATTATAGACTGGGCTAAAGATTTTGTTAAAATATTTTCTCCATATAATCTGAGTGGCATGCAACTTTCTAAACTTCATTCCTGTTGTTACTATATAGTTTCTGCAATTCAAAAATATGGATCGATTAATAGTATGACTACAGAAACATATGAA